TTCATATAGGGACTTCTGCTTAGCTGGAATATTAGATTAACCTCAGCACCTGTTTCCTCCCCTGTGACTTGCTGTTGAGTAAAATGTTGTCACATCTTTTTGAAGAATGTAGCCTCCTGATTTTACAGATATGGAAACTGAGACACAGGTGTCCTAGTAACTCAAGGGGCAGAAAGCATCATTTAGAAGTATATCATTTCATAAACAGCCCGAGAATCAGAGAATGTGCAATTCAGAAGCACCTTAAAGACCATCTAATCTAACTCCTTGGTCTATCAAATGTGCCTGTTTAAACCATTGTGTTACTAACAGTTGTGTGTTGATTGCGTTTGTGTTATGAAATTCCCCAGTGGAAACCCTCAGGTGTTCCTTGAGTTTCAATCCAAGGCATGGCATGTTAAATGATCAAGATAGTAAATGTTGGGAGAAGTCCCTCAGGGGAAAAGCTGTGGGCAGAGCTCAAAGAGAGACTGATAAATGCTCAAGGACATGCAGGGAAGGTGCCACAGACAAGGCAGAGGGCAGTGCAGAGACATGGAACTGGAGTTACAAGCAGGTGTTCCCTGGGCTCATCAGAGAGCCACTTAGAAAGAGTGTAGATGGGAGAGCTTAAATACCACGATCAAGAGTTTTGCTCTAATTTTAACTTAATTGGGGCCTCTGAGAAGTTTTGATCATGATTCAGGCCCTTTTTTCCTTTGCTCCTGCTAGAGCCTTGACCCAGGCCCTCCTAATTTCTTCCCTGGGAGTTTTTTAGTAAACTCCTAACTGGTCTCTCTCCCTCTAGTCTTGTCCTTTTTTTTTTTTTTTTTTGCAGTTTTGGCCGGAGCTGGGCTTGAACCTGCTGCCCCTGGTATATGGGGCCAGCGCCCTACTCCTTGATCCCCAGGCGCTGCCCCAGTCTTGTCCCTTTTCAGCCCTGCTCTGTATAGGCTTCCTGCCCCCAGGAGCTTTCTAAAATGCAAATCTGGATAGAGGATATGGTGGGGAACAGAAAAAATAAAATGCAAATCTAGGCAAACTTGGTGGCTTAAAACTGTAATCTCAGCACCTTGGGAGGTCAGGGTGGGCAGATCTCTTGAGGCCAGGAGTTCTGGACCAGCCTGGGCAACATAGCAAGACCCTGTCTCTGTAAAATATAAAAAAAGAATTAGTCAGGCATGATGGCATACATCTATAGTTCAGCTATTTGGAAGGCTGAAGGAGGAAGATCACTTGAACCTAGGTATTTAAGGTTGCCGTGAGCTAGATGACATCACTTCACTCTAACCCAGGCAACAGGACAAGACCCTGTCTCAAAAAACAAAACAAAACACACAAAAACTCCAATGCAAATATGATTGTGCCCCTCTTCTTTAAAGCACTTCCACAGCTCCGGTTGCCCTGTTGCCCACAGGACAAGATCCTGGTTCAAGTGACTCTCTGTGGCCAGGCATGGCCCTACCTCCTTCGGCAGCCTCACCCCTCTGTGCCTCTGGCTCTTTCTAGGACTCCCTGGTTTCCTGAGTAGCCATGCTATTGAATTACTCACTGTCTACGTACAGGCTTCTCTCTCCCTACCATTTGCTTTCTGTGCTTTCACCGTGTTGGTGAATTCCTGTTTATCCTTTAAAACCCAGTGCAAATTTCTAGTTTGAGGAAGGTTTCCCTGATCATTCTGAGCCATTATTGTTATTATGCTTTGAATGTGTTCTGTTTTAAAGCTTACACCATATTGCTTTCCAAATACTGGCTCCTCCCATTTTTGAGTGTTTATTGTGTAAGAGGCACTGACCCAACCCCCTACTCACATTAGTTCATCTTATTCCCACAGACCATATGAGAGGTATGTTCCGTTACAGCCCCACTTACAAATGAGGACACTACAGCTCAGATTTATGGTGGTTTACTCAAGGCCTGCAGCTGTAGGGTGACAGAGCTAGAATTTGAGCCCATGTCTGTTTGACTCAATTTCTGTACCCTTCAGTCTCCTGCTTCCTGGACCCTGCTGCACCCCCTAGACCTCCATTGTTGACCTTCAGAAAATGTTAAATATGGGAGTGACTGAGCAAAGGGGTGGATGCAGGAGGTATGGTATGGACAAGATGAAGAAATGGAGGGCTACTGGAGTGAGGAGGAACTGAGTTTACTCAGGATGAAGTGATTGGAGTCCAGCTTCTCATGGCTGAGGGTTTCCTTTCTACCTTCTATTCCAAGTGGCAGCCTCTGGCTTCCTAGGGACAGGCCTAAGGGACTCCACGATGAGCAGGTGGCATGGTGACAAACACCATGGCAACCTGCCTCCTCTCTGGGACCTTGAGGAGAGGGAGGGCCTGAGAAACCACAGGGCACACACTGAGGCTTCTACGCAGGATCCTGGAAAGGTGTCTTTCTTTCCTGTCACCTGAGCTGCTCGCCCCAATCTGGCAATGCTTCCCATGCATCATGCCCCAATAGCCCAGGGAGGGCTCCATTCCTGGGAGAGTGGCTTCTGCCCTCCCAGGAGGGACCCCTCCTATAGGTCCCATCCCAGCAGGGGAAATGCCACTTCCACCTCCATCCCAGATGAATAGCTGGTTCTGGCTTCCCAGGAGACTGTCAACTGCAGCCAGGTATAAAAACCACCCCCTTCTCTCCCGCTGGCCAGGGAGGAAGGAAGAGGGAACCCAAGAAGAGGGAGGCGAGCGTTGCCAAGCAAGGTAGTAGCAGGGACAACTGGGACAAAGCCCACATTGTACCAAGGCCACATGCAGCTCCAAGGCAAACCAGGCATCCCGCCTGCCTCCCAGGACCTAGGCCTAGAATACCACCTGCACTTCCCTGGCTCCTCAGCAACACTCATACAAGCTGGCTTGAAAACGAGAGGCCTAGCCCCAAATATGAGTCCTGCCTTTGTTGAAAAGTTCTCCTGAAGGCACAGCCTCCTCTCTGTACCTTCCCAAAAGCAAGAAGGAAGGGGATGATAAGGAGAGAGTTGTCAGTGAAGCCAGCTGACTGGGGGTAGAAACCAGAGTCCATTACACTGCAGCTGTGTGACCTTGGGCCCAAATGTGACAAAAGTACCTGGAAGGATTTGAAGTAATGGACCAAGATACATGAAAGCACTCAGCATGGTCATCTTGCCACAGAAGGCTTCATCATCATAGGTGATCCTTAAAGCCCTTGGCCACCCCAACCCCCAGCTGTTCCTGCCTAAGGTCCTACTGTGCCCAGGAGGCAGGGATGGCCCATTTATGGCCGTCCTAATGTGTGTAGAGGAGCACTGTTGCCCCTACACCTCAAACTGCCCCTGCCCCACGGTTCCTGCTCCGGAGGCCAGGCCCGGGGTTCCAAGAGGCCCTCCCTGGGTGATTGGGGCATGATGCATGGGAAGCACTGCCAGGTTGGGACGAGCAGCTCAGGTGACAGGCATGGTGCCGGCAGCTCCTGCAGCCCAGCACCCAACACCTCTGGGCAGACAATGCTGGCTGTGTCCAGGCCCTCCAGGGGAACAAACCGTGTTCTGTCTAACAGCCAGGAAACAGGCCATCTGAGCAGTGCCTTTGTCTACTCAGGAGGCGGCCTTGGCTCTGACCAGAATGACCAGGCTCCTCCAGGGAGGCCCTGACGTGGGAATGGGGTGGTTCCTGGGCTGAGGACTCCAGGGTTTGAGATCCAGCCCTTCAGCATCTGATACTGACCAGGTTTGGATGTTGCCCCCCACCCCACACACCTGGGGCATGATTTGGCCAAGTCCCTTCCCTGTCTGTGGCTCAGATTTTTTATCTGTAAAAGGGGACTAATCACAGCACTTCCTCATAGGGCTATTGGAAGGAGTCAATGGCGTAATGTACGTAAAGTGCTTGGCACGGGGCTGGTGTGGAGTGGGGCTCGGTGAGCACTTCTTTCCCAGCATGAAGGGAGGTCCAGGGCATGACATCCTCAGCCTAGTCTCCTATAGCCAATCTTTTGTCCTCAGTCCCTGCTGTTAGCATGAAAGGAGGGAACTGAGGTCTCTGGAACTGGCACAGGACCAGTACATTGGCTGCAAAGAACCCGGGCCCCTCTCCCTCAAACTCCAGAAGCTCTGGGGTGTTGTCCAGCATAGTCCCCTCATTACAACAGCCAAAATCCAGTCAGTATGGGGCCTCTCCCCTCATAAAACACCAATAGGTTGCCCTTGGGGTCCATGCCTCCAAGAAAGTGGCCCAAGGACTCCCAGGTGGGAGCCAGAGGGCTTGAGTCCACTTGCCCACTTAGCCAGAGGGTTTCTCTACCCACTGGGACCCTTCTCCCCGCGAGGGCTTCTGCTCCTACTCATCTGCTACTCATCTGCTTTGAGCTTGTGCTCTAAGTTCCTGGGATATGCCAAGATCAGCATGCATGTTTGCACAGACGGGTGCGGGAGGGCTTGGCGGCATGGGCAAGCTGCCTGAGCACATTCGCTGAGACCTACGTGGCACGTCTTGGGATGGCAGGGGCATGGTACCTTTTTATGTTTGTGTGTATCCATATGTCTTTTTATACGTGTGCTGGTATGTTGGTCTGTCTTGTCTCCCATATAGACGGGAAGCCCCGAACCACGCGCCAACTGGGAAGGTGATGGTCGGCGAGACCAGCCCATCCTAATTTGGGGTTCCTGGTCCTGCTCCAGGAGTCCTCCAGCCTACAGCCCCCACCAAGGAGGGAGGACTGGACAGCAAGGGGGTGGGAGTCTCAATGTCAGGGACCTGGGGAAGAAGCAGGCCTGGCTCGTAGAGTAGAAGACTCAGTGCTGGCCAGTGTGCAGGAGACCTTGCCTTTGCAGCCTCCATACCTCAGACCAGGCCCTCACTCTCCCTGGGGTGCACTCACTCATCTGGAGGACACTGGGTTGGACTGATAATTTCTCACCGCCTTTGAGGATCTGACAATTGTGACTTTAAGTTGGGAGGTGGGAACCTGTGCACCAGCCCCATTCAATTCATTGGTGGAGGCAGCTGTGGCCTGCTAGGCCCTCACCAGGTCCTGGGGTGTCCTGCCGAAGGGTGAGAGGAAAAGCCATGCCAGGCAGCGGCCCCAGCGAAAGGATGACATGGCCCGGCCCGGCCTTCCCCACGGCACCCCCAAACCGCCCTCTCTCCTCAGCCCCGGGGACACCGCCCATCCCGCCCCTTACCCGGACCCGCAGCCTCATGGCCATGTCCCTGCCCGGGAGTAAAAGGGCCTCTGCTGGATCCCGCAGGTAAGTTTCCCCCTTGCCCAGATCCTTGGCTTCAGAGGGTGGGAGGAGTGGGTATTCCTGTCTCTACCTGCCACTAACTTGCAGTGTGTCTTTGAGGAAATCTGGAGCTATTTATGGGTTCGAATGACATAGTGGATAAGAAAGTTCTCTGAAGGGGTAAACCACTACATTCCTACCAGTACTCAGTCTCATCCGTATTGTTTGATATGCACAATTGCTGGAGGGAAGTTGTACAGTTGTCTACTCAAGCTCACTTGGCCTCCCCTGATTTTCATTCTTGTGAGCCTTCTGTATGCCCCATTCTTCTCCACCTTTCTGAGTCCTTCCAGAGTTCTTCTTCCCTGGGTTTGGAGATCCTGGAAGTTGAGGACCCTTCGTAAAGGCAGATGGGCCCCCACCCTTGGCCTGCGGTCCTGCCCAGCTTCTGTTCTTTTCCCTGGGAAGCCAGGAGGACCAGCCTCATTCTGGTTTTCCATCTTGATTTCCACTGTCTGTTCTGTCACCCCCGTCTGTGCTTCCCCCTCTCTCCCTGCTTCTCTCCCCGGCGGTGACCCCGAAGTGGGGGCCCTTTGGGCCGCAGCGGCCTGGCAGTGTTCACCCAGTGTCCGCAGCTGCCCACCAGCCAGAACGAGCACCTGCCTCTTCTTCCTGCCTCCAGGCGCACCTCTCCACCTGTGAGCATGCGGGATGCCTACGGCACCTCTTCCCTCAGCAGTAGCAGCAACTCAGGCTCCTGCAAGGGGAGTGACAGCAGCCCCACGCCAAGGTAATCAGCCCCTTCCCTCCTGTGGCTGTGCTGGCTAGGAGCCTGGTGACCCTGGGGTGAGGCACACAGAAGAACTGCATGGTGTTCTGACCATCTCTGACCCCAGCACACTCACTGGCTATGCAACTTCTCCTCTCTGAGAGTCAGCCCCTGGCTATGACATGGATAGGATGATGCCAAGCTGTACTCAGCCGTAACAGTGGTTTAATCAAACTGGCAGTGATGCTTTCAGAACAAGGAGCTAGAGGTAAGCAGCTCCCTAACGTGTCAAGAACCCTGCCTCCTCTCTTTCTGTTGTACCATCCTTTGGGTGCAGCTTTTGTCCTTGTCATCACAAGATGGCTCTTATACTTCCAGGCATCAGCTCAGCCATCCAGGAAGGAGCAACATAGAAAGGACCAAAAACTGGCAGCGCCTGTACCTCAGTGGGTAGGGCACTGGCCACATACACTGAAGCTGACGGGTTTGAGCCCAGCCAGGGCCTGCCAAACAACGACAACTGCAACAACAACAACAAAATAGCCAGGCCTTGTGGCGGGCGCCTGTAGTCCCAGCTACTTCAGAGGCTGAGGCAAGAGAATCACTTAAGCCCAAGAGTTTGAGGTTGCTGTGAGCTGTGGCGACATGGCACTCTACCCAGGGTGACAGCTTGAGACTCTCAAAAAAAAAAAAAAAAAAAAAAAAAAAGAAGAAAGAAAAAGAAAGGACCAAAAACTCTTCCCTCAAGGGTTGTTTTTTCTGAGAACCTAGGAAGTAGGAAATTCTGCCAACACCTTGCTGGCTGGAACTGGTCACGTGGCTAACTCTAGCTGCAGGGCCAGTTAGTGCAGAGTTAGTGTTTTCCCAGTACAGTGCCATCCCAAACAAAATGGGGGTTCTGTAAAGAAGACAAGATGGTCTTAGGAGGCATCTAGCCATGCCTACCTTCTTGTGCTTCTCAGGGGTACACTTGGAGAGCAGCCCACGTGGAGCTAGTTTGGAAGGAGGTGAAGTGCATTACAAGTGCAGCAGATGCCAAATCGTGGTGACCAAGACTCCCAAAGCAGGGTCAGCCTGGAGAGGCAGGCGACAGGTCCTTGAAGATCAGGAAGTGAGAACTGCCATGGCAGCCCTCATTTCTGTTTCCCCACCACTGAGATAGTTGTGGGAGACTGGGGAGTGTGGGTTTTGGATTCAGCCACTTCCAATCTCTGAGTCTCCATGTCCTTATCTATAAAGTGGAGCTGCTAATTCAGGGGCTTCAGCAAGCTGATATCTGCATACTGTCCACACATCCTAGATGGCTGACAATTGATAGCTGCCCTTGTGAGTGCTCTGGTCTGATGAAATGGTTATGTGCCAGAGAAGGCCAGGAGATGTCCAGCCTGCAGCTCCCATGGCTGGGGCACCTCCTGAGAAGGCTTGTCTTGCCTTTTCCAGTGGAGAGGATGTCATGTGTATGACATGATGTCTGAAGCTACTGAACCAGCAGTTCTCAGAGTCTTCTACCATAACACGCATGATGGGTAACACTTGTGAGCAGAACCCATGCCCCAACATTCCTGTCCATCACCCACCCAGAGCCTGGGGGACATAAAGTGATGTGTATATAATTAGAGATTTTAACATTTTTTTCATTAGTAACATATATATATATATATATATACTTTTTTTTTTTTTTTTTTTAGAGACTGACTCTCACTATGTTGTCTTAGGTAGAGTGCCGTAGCATCACAGCTCACAGCAACCTCAAACTCTTGGGCTTAAGTGACTATCTTGCCTCAGCCTCCCAAGTAGCTGGGACTACAGGTGCTTGCCACAATGACTGGCTATTTTTGGTTGCAGTTGTCACTGTTGTTTAGCAGGCCCGGGCCCCGCCAGCCCCAGTATATGTGGCTGGCGCCCTACTCACTGAGCTACAGGTGCTGAACCTGTAACATATTTTTATAACATATCTCATAACTAGTCCATAAGGGCAATCTCAGCCCCAAGACTCAGAACCCCTTCTACATGAGGGTCTTCCTTTGCCCACCACGAGAGTTGCTGCCCTTAACTGAGTGGTGGAGCCTCAGTCAGGGCCTCAATGCAAACAGCCAGGCTTTCCAAAGTAGGAACAACTGAGGGACCTGCATTAAAGCATATTTTTCTTCTTGAATTAAAAATGTATACACATATTAAGAAAGGAAGAAACTGTATTAATAGAATTTTAATACATAAGTCATGTTTGACTTCTGAAATTACAAGAAATATAAGATACAATATACAAGATCACAATCATCATTGATATTATTGAGTATTACAATTTCAATACAATTTTTTTTCTTTCTTAAAATGAGTATACATTTTTTGGCACACCTTCTGGATGTGTGTGTGTGTATATATGTATATATTTTTAAAGATAGAATTAGTGACTAAAAGTATATGAATGTTAAATGTTATATTGGAAAAAAATATTCATGAAAGCAAATGGAAAAATTTTAAATAGTTATTTCCTCTCTAATCCTTTCTGATTCCTACTAGTTTGACTAATCTTGGTTCCTCCACTACCACCACCCACTCCACCCTTAGGCATCACTTTACTCATCACAGATCTGTGCCCCTCTAGCCAAAGTTCTTGTAGGAGGATGAGTGCAGGACTAGTGTGTGAGCTTCAGGGTGACCTGTGTGGCTGGCTTCTCATATGGAGAGAGATTTCTTAGACCAGAGGGGGAACCCCAAACTCTATAACTATGCTACTCCTTTGCCCCTTGCTGGGCAGAAAACAGGCCTGTCTGAGTTAAACTTAGAGACCACAAGATGAGTACATAAAAGAAAACAAGTTCTCCTTTCCTTCTTTCCACTTCTATTACCCCTTTCTCTTCAACAGTTTACCATTTACAGATACTTTTTCCTCAGTCAACATTAGACAGTTTCCACCAAACTTTAAAAACCACCTCCACCTTGGCTGCTTCAGCAAATGGGCCTCATCGTGGCCTGTCTTTTCCAGGCCCATAAGTGATTATTGCCCCTCCCTTAAGCCTAAGGGTCCCCATCCTCTGAAGGACCAGAGTTGAATGTCAGCAAGGCTTAGGTCTCTAGTTGTGGAAGAAGAAGCCAGGCTGGTTTAAGCCAAGACTCAGGAAGGTTTCTTTATAGCAGAACAACCAGAGTGAGGAAGCTGTGAGTAGAGGCAGTCTGTTGTAGAAGTGCCGCCTGGTCAGAATTGTGGTGTTCCTTTTCCTTGAGAAAGGCTTGGCCCTGCCTCCCTGACTGGCACTGACAGCCCTCTGGGTGGAAATTTCTCCTCCTTTGCACTGACGGGGCTAGGATGCCACACATGTCCAACACTGGTGCCACCCTGTGCTGGGAGCGGTGCACATCTAGCCTGCTGACCCCTCAGGGTTCTGCTATCGACAAGTCCATGCCCAGAGCTAGTAGTAGGTCTTCATGTGTGTCCCCAGGTGACGGACTTGTGAACATGTGCACCTGTGCCTGGGCTGGTGTCCTAGGATATGCGAATGCCCATGAATGTAGCAGGATGGTGGGGATGTGCAGGCACAGGAGTGCCCCCACATGTGTGGGTGTGCAGGTGCAAAAGGAATGGGAATCAACATACTCAGATGTGCACGCTTAGTGTATGTACATGTGCATATTCACGTGTGCATAGGCGTGGGGAGGAGAAGGTAGGAGTGTGTGAAGAGACCACTCCCACACACACATGCCTGCTTTCCTTGTGCCCAAGCTGTGAGGACTCTCCCTCCACTCTGGGAGACGTTTCCTCCTCTGCAGTGGTGAGTCCTTGTCCACCATGCAGACCTGACTCCACCCCTCTGACCCCAGCTTCTTGCCTTAAAACTCATTCTCTGGGTTAGGAGACTGGGTTCTAGGGACATGGCTGGGACTGTCTATGGGGCCAGCAGCTCCCTCTGAAAGATAAAGACAGTCCCTACTGCCAGGGCAGCTATAAGGATTGACAGAACTGCTCAAGTGTTTGGCATGGCTCACACACATGCTCTGGTATGTCTCCCCACTCTAACTAGAGGAACCCTGAGCCCTCTACCCTGATACTGGTCCTCAATCACAGGAACTTTACTAAAACTCATCTTCCAGAAGGCTGGGTGTTCTCATGCCCACACAGAACCTGTGCAGGTGTCCTGGTTTGGAAGTGTCTCATGGTCAGGGGACAAAGATGGTTAGGCTGGCCTGCCCTTGTTCCCTGGAGGCCCAGCATCTGTGCCTTGCCTGACCTGTTCCTCCCTGATGATGGCATCCCCTTGCAGACGTTCCATGAAGTACATGCTATGCAGCGACAACCATGGCATCAAGCCCCCCACCCCGGAACAGTACCTGACTCCACTGCAGCAGAAGGAAGTTTGCATCCGGCACCTGAGGGCCCGGCTGAAGGACACGCAGGACCGGCTCCAAGACCGGTGAGCGGGTGACCAGGACATCCTTGGGGACAACCTGCCAACTCCACACTCACAGGAACCAGGGCCTGGAGTTCTTTGGGGAAGGAGGAGTGGCTCAGGGCCTCCCAGCATCTCCTGTCCCTGCCTTCCCAGGAAAGCCTTATCTGAGCCCATTTGCAGACACCTCGTCCCAGCTTCTTACTTTGATTGCTCCAGGTGGCTGTTGGGGGACAGGCAGGGAGTGTTTTCTCTTGTGAGAGTCTGTTCTGTCTCTTCAGCTTCAGCCTGGCAGCCCCTGTTACCCTCTTTTTATCCCTAGCTGCTGTCTATCTGGGGAATTGGAGCACTGGGAAAAACAACCCTTTATCCCTCCCGCGCTTCCTCCTGAGTGAGTCTCCAGGGAACTCTTCCCCCCAGTTCAGAAGTCATCCTCCTCATCTACTTCCTACTTTCAGCTGATGTAAGATCATGAGAAACCTTTACCAGGCTCCCATGGGCCCCATAGGCCCATCTGAGCTCCTTCTCAAGACTACAAGGGCACTCAATCCTGTCCCTCCCAGCCTCTACTTCCCCAGCCAGGCCTCCCAAAATTCTGAGATTATAAGTGTAAGCCACCATGTATGGCCCCTATTAAACATTTATATCACCTCAAAAAAAAAAACCCCATCTCCATTAGCACAATCACTGCCCCATTTCTTTTCATCCACCGCATTTCCTAGAAATCACTCATTTTTCTGTCTGTATAGATTTGTCTGCTCTGGACATTGCGTATAAATGGGATCATAAAGTATGCATCCATGACCATATCATTCTTGATCAGAGCTCTGCCAAGGAGCCAATCCAGTTTGGACTTGCTATGCTTTTCAAGCTGCAGGAGGGTACAGGTGGCATTCAATGACCTCGTCATAGAGCTGGGATTGCTATTTTTGCTTCCCCTCATCTTCCTAATGATGCCAGGGTTCTGCTTGGCCCTTTGCATGAACGTCCATGGGGAACAGATGGTCCATCTCCCAGCTTCCTTCCAGGGCCAGCCCTGTGGCTCAGAGCAGACTGAGGTTTGAGCCCTGTGGTTTGAGCAGGATGCTGTCATGGGTGTGCCCAAATCTCAACTCCCTGCACACTCCCTGCCCATGGCTCCCACAGGATCCTGTGGCAGCTCCTTACATGCTGCGCTATCACACCTCTCGTGCTCTGTGTATTGGGTTTCATACCTATACTGCCTATCGTGATCTGCCTCCTACTCCTCAAAGACGCCACGTGCTTTTACACCTCTGTGTTTCCTTATCTTGCGTCTCTGCTACCTGTGATGCCCTGTCCCCATCTTGCTTCCCTTCAGGACTCAGTTCAGATGTGATGCCCTGCATCTTACTGAGGTGTAGGCAGAGCTGGAAACTACAGCTCTCTGGGAACTGGCTGGTTCCAAGGAGAGGGAGCCAGGGAGAACGGAGCTGAGTGGCCCAGTTCCTTCTTTCAAACTCATTCTGCCTCCCAGAGCAAGGCATGAGCAAGGAGTGGGCATGAGAGGCCAGGAGGGTTACCCCAGAGTGAGCCCCCACCCTGAGGCGGGACAAGTAGAAAACATTCCCCCTTCCTATTCCCATGTCTGTTATTGCCACTGTGAGCACTTCCGTCTGGCACTGCTTCCTTCCCCTTCCAGGTGACACCCTTGCTGATTTTGTGCCCACTGTAGCCCCTCAGTAGTCTTAGTCCCTTCAGCATATAGAGGAATGAGATTCCCAGGCCCATTTCCTGCATGAAGAAATCTGACTTTGAAAACCATGTAGGGTGCTCACTCTCCTAGGCTCATACACCCCAAAGAGTTAGCCATGCCATTTGTAGATTGAATTTCCATGGATATAGGCTTTTGGCTGAGAGACTGCCAGCGGGCCCTATCACTAGGAAGTGTGCTGGAGAAAGAATGCCCAGGAGAAGATGTTAAGTCTCGTGAATGATTTTCTTCTTTTCTCACTATTTTTAGTCTGCCGCATTCAGCCTGCCTCTGGTTTTACGTATAGACTTGATGGGATGTTTTTCTAACTTATCTCCTTCCCTCTCCTGTACCCCATGGATTCATCTGTGAGGCAGGGATTTGAAAAAGCCTGAGCATTTCTGAACAAGAGTCTTGTGATCACCCTGTTTGCCTGGAGCTTGCCCCTTCTTTGGGGGATAACTCTGTACCTTTCTCATCCATCTTTTCAGCCTTTCCTCTTTATGGTAGACACAAAGAAGAAACTTCTAGCACAGATAAGAGAGCCAGCCTGCTCTGCTTTATCTACCACTTCCCATCCCTTCACTTGAGGGGAATGATATAAAATTACCAGCTCCCCCCAAACATCGGAGACAAGATGGTCACTTGTCTCAGAAAAACAAAGAAGTCCACTACCCTCTCCATAGAGGTCTTTCCCCAAATGTCCCTTCATTTAAAATTTTCACAGCTTGCCTGTAGTCCCAGCTACTCGGGAGGCTGAGGCAAGAGAATCGCTTAAGCCCAAAAGTTGAAGGTTGCTGTGAGCTGTGACGTCACAGCACTCTACCAAGGGCAATAAAGTGAGACTCTGTCTCGACTAAAAAAAAAAAATTTTCACAGCTTGCTTTGGTAGGAGGCCACATTCCTTTCTACAGGGCAGAGATTTTCTATCTATCTTTTTTTTTTTTTTTTTTTGTCAAGACAGAGTCCCACCCTATGCTCTTAAGCAGAGTACAGTGGCGTTGTAGGTCACTGCAACCTCAGACTCGGGCTGTGAGCACCCTGCTGCCTCAGCCTCCAGAAGCCACTAGGGTTACATGCGCTCACCGCCAGTGCCCAGCTGGGTTTTTCCATTTTTTTTTCATGCGTTGGGGTCTCATTCTTACTCAGGTGAATCCTGAACTCCTGAGCTCAAGCAATTCTCCCTCCTCAGCCTCCCACAGTGCTGGGATTACAGGCATGAGCCACTGTGCCCAGCTAGTTTTTGTTTTCTTTATGTTAAGATTTTATTAAGTTTTTATGGCAACTTCTTTTATAAATGTATACTTTGTGGTCTCTACTCTAGATGAAGGATTTAAACACTGAGAATCATCTGCAATTCAGCTTCTAGTGGGTGGGAATATGGGCTGTATCTCCTATTGACATTTTTTCCTTCCTCTCAGGTGAGGGCATCTCCTGCCTTGAACCCTGGGTCCCTCTCCCCACCCACATTTGCTTCTCCCTGTGGAATGAAAAGGAAGGGAAACAAGGTGTTAGTCCTTTGTTCTGTTTTCAGCTCTGAGCAGGAGCACAGGGCCCTTCATCCTCGAAGACACTGTCCTTGGTGATGGTGACAGACCGGGCAGGCTGTGAGCCTGTGTGTCTCTCCTCTGCCCGCAGGGACACTGAGATCGATGACCTGAAGACGCAGCTGTCACGCATGCAGGAGGATTGGATTGAGGAGGAGTGCCACCGTGTGGAGGCCCAGCTGGCCTTGAAGGAGGCCCGCAAAGAGATCAAGCAGCTCAAGCAGGTCATTGACACTGTCAAGAACAACCTGATTGACAAGGACAAGGGGCTGCAGAAGTACTTTGTGGATATCAACATCCAGAACAAGAAGCTGGAGACGCTGCTGCACAGCATGGAGGTGGCCCAGAATGGCATAGCCAAGGAGGACGGCACTGGGGAGTCGGCTGGTGGGTCTCCCGCCCGATCCCTCACCCGAAGTTCCACCTATACCAAGCTGAGTGACCCAGCTGTCTGCGGTGACCGCCAGCCCGGTGACCCCACCAATTCATCTGCTGAGGATGGGGCTGACAGTGGCTATGTGGCAGCTGATGACACACTGAGCAGGACGGATGCACTGGAGGCTAGCAGCCTGCTGTCATCAGGGGTGGACTGTGGCCCTGAGGAGGTCTCACTGCACAGCTCCTTTGGCCCAGGCCCCCGCTTTCCCGCCAGCAACACCTATGAGAAGCTCCTGTGTGGCATGGAGGCTGGGGTGCAGGCCAGCTGCATGCAGGAGCGGGCCATCCAGACAGACTTTGTGCAGTACCAGCCTGACCTGGACACCATCCTGGAGAAAGTGACCCAGGCCCAGGTCTATGGGACAGTCCCTGAGTCAGGGGACAGACACCCAGAGCCAGACCCTCACCCTTCCGGACCCAGAGACCCCAACTCAGCCGTGGTGGTGACAGTGGGTGATGAGCTTGATGCCCCGGAGCCCATAACCCACGGACCCACCCCACAGCAGCCTGGTGCCAACCCCAACTCTGGGCAGTCTGTGAGTGTGGTGTGCCCCTTGGAGGAGGAGGAAGAGGCAGCTGCAGCTGAGAAGGAGCCCAAGAGCTACTGGAGCCGCCACTATATTGTGGATCTGCTGGCCGTGGTGGTGCCAGCTGTGCCCACGGTGGCCTGGCTTTGTCGCTCACAGCGGCGCCAGGGCCAGCCCATCTACAACATCAGCTCCCTGCTGCGGGGCTGCTGCACCGTGGCCTTGCACTCCATCCGCAGGATCAGCTGCCGCTCGCTGAGCCAGGCTGGCCCGAGCTCAGCAGGTGGCAGCTCCCAGCTCTGAGGAGGCCCCCCAGGCAGCAGCTCCTGTGGCCTGACCACTGATTGTAGGGATGCTGTTCTCCCGTCATCTGTCCCCATGGAGTATCATCTTATTTAGTTTTGGGTGTGGAACTGTTTGTTTGTGTTTTGTTTTTGTTTTTGTTTTTTCAGGATGTTTAACAGTGTCAGGGCAGGAGTAGGGGTTGAGGAAAGGCATTCCAAAACTTCAGAGAGAAGGGAGACCAAAGGCAGGTGGTATGCCAACTGGACAAACCACAGAGAAGAGAAGGTGAGGGTCCCCCAGCCTAGTCCCTCTGTTCACCTGGCCCCAGCTCAGGAAGTCTCTAGCTGTGTTCATCTGGGGAAGCTGGGCTTGCCTTGCCCTGCCTACCAGAGCCCCGCTATCCTGTCCAGGGCCCTGCTCACCCCATGCCTTCTCTTCTTAGCTACCTTGCCCTCAGCCCAGGCTTCTGGGCCAGTATTATCTCCTCAGCCGGAGGCAGCTATGGCCCAAAGTTCAGATCACTGACCCCACGACTCAGAGCAGGGTCTGGACCACTGCGCCTGGGCTGGAGCTCCAGCCTCCCCAGACTGCTCCCACCTTGAGATTCAGAACCACAGTCAAGGCTGCAGGCTGGAGGAAAGACAGCGCTGGGGCATGAGGTGGCAGAGGGCAGTGTGGGTTCTGTGTCTGTCTGTTCATCCCAAGCTGTCCTTGTAATCCACTTCCTCTTGGCACTGCTGGGTGTGTCAGGTCGTTCTTTCCATGAGAGAGCTAAGCTCGGCAAGCTCAGTACTGGGGACTGCTTCCCTGAGCCCCACCACTTAAGGAGAAGGCAGGGGTAGGGAACCCAGAAGGCTCCAGCTTTCTGAGGTCAGGCCATCTCCTGTCTCATCTGCAGTCTGGGAGGCGGAAGAGGACCCAGGAATCCTCAGCTTGTGGGAAAAGCCACAGGCCATGACTGCCCCTGCTTGCCCTAAATTTCTCTGGGGGCCTCAGGCCCAACTTCTGCTTTGCACTATGTTCATTTGGAGCTTGGTTCTCAGCCATCTCAGGGGTTCCCGTGAGGTGGCCACTTGCTTTCTGGGATGAGAGTTCCTACATCTTAGACCTATCTGCCTCCAGAGGAGGGTGGGGAATTCTGACAGGAGAATCCCCAGACAGGGTATTGAAGCCATGATGTTCTTCCAGGCCAAAGCAGGGTGCCCTGGGATATGCTTCCCAGGCAGGGGTGTGGCACGGCGGGCAGGTACCCTGCAGCCTCCCCGCTCCTAGCCCAAAGCCAGTCACCCTGGGAAGGCTCACTGTCCCCTACTCTTTCCCTCGGACCACATCTGTGCCCCCCAGCAAAGCTGCTGACATTTTTATTACAATACTGTTTTACAAAGTAAACTCACTTCTCTTCCTCTGTAGGGGCTATACGCATCTGGCCATCCCACCCACTCTTCAGAGGTTATATCCTTTAGGGGGTTTGGTGGGACCCTGTATCTTATTCAGCCCTCTGGTCTAAGGGCCACTCTGGTTCTCTGCCAAGGTCGCTTGCCCTCATCCCCAATGCTCTAGCAGCCATTGCCTGACTCCTGGGCTCTGCCCTTCTGCTCTGTGCCCTTCAGTCCAGGGCACCTGCATGCACTGGAAGTGGGCGCCCAGCCCAGCCACGGGGGCAAGAGGCCCCTCTGCCTCGTGCTTTGTGCCTCCAAAGCTCCCCCCACCTCGGTTGGGGCCTCAGACCAGCCATCCTTTGTGAAGCGCCCTCAACCCCAGCCAAACCAAACCCAAATGCCTGGGGCCTGGCTGGGGCTGCCCCCACAGGACACTGGGCTCACAGCACGGAGGGGGACAGTGGACAAAACCAATCCAAAGCCAAGCCGGGACTGACCACGGACCCAGCCTCTTGTGCCGTGTACTCATGGAGCTGCATAGTGTCTCCTTAGAAATAGTCCAAGCTTTGCTGAGAAAATAAATGTATGAACTATATTTGACAACATAAAATCTATATATTTTTCACCACTGGAATTTAGTCAAGCTTTGTAGCCCCTCTGCTCCTGTCGTCCATGTCTTGCATTTGTGGCCTTCCTGTTGTGTCTTGTATTTGGTGGACATGGGAAGGGCAGGGGCCCTAGTCTAGTCTGTCCCTGCTGCTGGAGAAGCCACCTGGGCAAGGGTGGGCTGTGGTTGGGCCCAAGGCCTGTGCAGGGGGCGAGTGGGCCTGGCTGCTGCCCTCTACTCCTGCTGGCCCCAGATCTGCCTGTGTGGCTCTCCAGGGGCCCCTAGCACACAGTGTGGAGGGTTTTCTCTTTTGGGGGTTCTCTGGGGCTTCTGATGGGCTTTTCTTCTTGACAGTGGAAGAAACAGCTCGCTGGACAGGCCCTGCGACCACACTGGCCAGTGGCCCTGGCCCGGCTCTTGAGTGAGTGCTCGTGTGTGTGTGCTCAGTATCCTGCATCTATGCAAAGGTGCGGGCTGCCTGTGTGGCCCCAGGTGGGGGAGGCACGGCGGCCTGCTGGCTCAGGCTCCAAGCCCTGACGAGGCAGGGCACTGAATGTGGGCTGGGGGGAGGCTGGAGCCTGGGATGTGTGTCCTCCAAAGCTCCCTTCTTCCCTCCTGCTTAATACCTCCTCCTGCTGGGCTGACTTTTCCTCCTGCCCTCGGCTTCTGAAGCAGAAATCTTTGGGGCCTCCTTCTCCCTAGCCTCTGGCCGGAACTGATTAAGTCCTGAGAAACGATATCCCCAGAAACCACCTTCTGAAACTGCTGGTCTCTTGGATGGAGTCCAGTGGCCAGAAGCGGGTTCTTCTGAGTTCTAATTCTCAGATCAGAGCAGCCCTGCTGCCCCTCTGGTCCGGGCTCTGGCAGGAATTGGAAGTTGGGGCCCAGACTTCTGTACAGAGAGCTGGCCTTGAGCAGAGTTTATTACAAATATCTCCTAAAGGGATAACGTAGCTTTTCACTGAAACACCCTTCCCAACTGCCACTAGCACAGGGGTATCTGACAGCACTCTGGGGAGGGGTAGGGCAAAACAAAGTTCCGGGGCCTCTGCCCAGTCAACTCACAACCCCTCTCTGATCTGAGGGATGGTGCAAACTGGTCACAGTGCACTCACATATTAGGCCATCCCCTTGACAGGGGATTCAGGGGAAGCGGGAAGAGGGGAGGTGGGGAGGGGTCTGCACTCTTGTCTCCTTTGTCCTTTGTTCAGACAGAGTTGTACCTGCAGCAGTCAGCTCTGAATTAAAGCATGAAAACACACAGAGACCCTTGGCCTGTTTTCTTTATACTGTGTTGTTTTTCTAACGGGGGTGATGAGGGGCTCACACTGTCCACCCCAGCACGGGTCATAACACTCATGCGGGGAGAAGCCAAGCGGGCAGTGATCTCTCTCACAGAGGGAAGCAGGGAGCTGTGTGCTGGCACAGCCCACCAGGCTCTGCTATGTGTGTATGTGGGGCACTCCACTGCTCTTCTGGGGTCAGGCACAGGGCCTGGAACCACCTCTCCCCACCCCCAGGTGTCAGACCCCACTAGGCCCTGTAAATACATCAAATTTCATCTTCCCCAACACCCCTCGAAGTGGGTTCTCCTGCCCACCTTGCAGATGCAGAAGCAGCCACAATTATGTAGTGGGGTTCCTTAAAGTCAGGGCCCCCTCCATCAGCCCCACTGTCCTACGGTCCTATGTTGTCGTCCCTGCCCCAGGTTGTCGGGCAGCATGGGATGGAGGCATAGCCACAGCACAGCTCTCAGAGTTGACGTGTAGCAAAGGCCTTGGTCTCACCACTGTTTAAAAGAAATCCAGCCTTCTCATGTCATAGGGCCACCAAGGATTCCAGAATTTTCAATTCCTTCGAGGAAGGGGTTTTGCTTAAAGTCAAATCTTTATTCAAAAGACAGTAAAGGGTCATAATTTTGTATAGTCTGTGACAAAGAGCAAGTGAAGACAAAGTTCTCAGAACTTTCTGTTCTCTTAAAACATGCAATGTTTTCCTGCTACAGGCAAAGTCTTGAAAGGGACCCAGTTGAAACTTTGAGAAGTATTTAGCCCGCCTGCCTGTGTGCCCAGCATTTAAACCAGCACAAAGAATCTACTGCCGGTAGGCCCTGCCTGAGCCTCAGCCCAGTTAGGCGTCTGAGGTTCTCAGAGGACCTGTGTATAGATGAAAGACCTTGCCATCCAATGTCCACCCACCTGGAACATGTGCCCTCAAGACACCCTGACCTCAGATCAGCAGGCCAGCTGCCCTCTTGTGGGAGGGCCCATGCTGCACTCCTGTGACTTCAGACATCTGGGATGGAGTGGTCCATGGTATGGTGGAGCAGGGTCGGGGACAACCTGGGAACAGCAACAACAGTGGCCAAAACTTCCAGCTGTTTCTCCGTGTAAGTCCCCTCCCCTTTCCCCAAGCCTGTGCATCCCCATATGGGCCTTCACTTCTAGTTCTAAGACTCAAGTCACCTGAAGCCACTAGCCACCTTGGAGGGAGGGGGGGAAAGGGGAAGATGGGCCAGGTTGGGCCTGTGCCCTGTGTCAGCACTGAGGTAGTGGGTGGCTGGGCCCAGGTATGCCTCAGGAGAGGGAGAAGGGTGGGGGGAGACTTACTTCTTGACCATGTGCTCGTAGATGACAATAGGGATGATAGTCAGGGTGATGACGTTCCCAGCTGTGGCCAAAATTTCCATGATCTCTTTATCCTGAAGGGGAGGTAAGTGAGCAGTCACCCTGGGGACTAGGGATTGGGAGCAACTTTGTAGGCCCCTCTGTGGGACACTACTGACACCTGGCCACAGGGGCAGGGCTGCCTATCAGGAGAGGGCAGACGTCCAGGTGTGGTCTTGCCTGAGTGAGGTCATGCATCTCCCACCTGAGCATCTCCTTAGTCCAATGAGCACCAATCCCTACCCTCACCTTAAAGGCCAGCTGTGCGGGCCTGACTGACATATCATAACCTTATACGAGTGATTCTCCTTGGAGACAAGGGTTCCCAGAGACGCAAGCCTACATTTTCTATTCCAGGCCACAGTCACACTTGGGTTCTGGCTCCAAAGCACAAAGAGAATAACGATCTAGTGGGAGGCAGGCACACCCACCCACCTTCTGGCTCCTGCTGGCTGCCAGCCCGAGCCAGGGCTGCAAGGGTACTCTTCCTCATACATCTGGTTGACTGATAGGAAGGAAAAGCCCTGTGGGCACCACTTAGATCATGGAGAGAACATAAGACTACATCTCTAGAAGGTCCAAACACTAAAGCTATGGCCATAGAAGAGCCTCAGACCCTTACACAGAGCTTAGTGACCTTTACACATCCATGAAACATGATCACAGGTTTCCTTAGTTGTTCCAGAATAAATGGGAGAAGATGTGATAGATAGAACTAATGATGGCCACAGGTGGAAATACACAAACTTTGGAAAGATAAATGAGCCCAGGAGGCATAGCTATCTGTAGTCATTCAGCAAAATGGCAACCTCCTCCCTAAGATCTTCACAACCTCACTGTTCTATAGAGCAACTGTTAGTTCATGGTGATGCCTTGAGCCATCAGTAAGGATGTGAGAATCACATCTTAGAACAACCGTTCTTCGGAATAGTTAAGATCAAAGAATTGTAATGCTTTGGAAGGAGTGAGCTCACTCATCTCTAAAGATTCCAGACACTCAAAATTAGTATTACTGTTCTCAGCTTTTTAGGTTACATGTACAATAATAGGTTGCCTTTGAATTGTCATGTCTGATCCCAGAGGAAAGGGAGAGAAAGCAGCAGGAGGGATCTTAGACAAATATGAGAGGAATTTCCTGATCACAACAATCAGGAGCCACCAGAAGAAGCCTCCGGGAAGGTGGAGGGTCGTCAAGCACAAGCAGACATGTGGCAGGAATGGCGAATGGCATGGTGACAGCAGATAGCTGGTGTGAAAACTATCTGCCACCACCCAGGCTACATCTGCAGGGGGGACCTGCCCTGTGAGCGCCAACACTCTGGTTGCAGGAGGAAGGGTCTCTCGCCCTACATAGCAGCTCAGATTGAGGGGCACTCTTGGCCCAAGAGGCATCAAGTTAGGACAAAGCTACTTTCATTTGTTTGGGAACCAATTCCCCCCAAATACCAACCCCTCATTCCATCCACAGATCCTGGACTACTTGCTCCTTCCTGTTTGCTAAAGATAAGACTCACCACACATACTCCCTTGAAAACTGAATAGTGGTCAGAAATGGATTTCTGAATGACAATTTTCTATAATACTCCTATTACTGAACTTGATCCACTTCCACAAATGGAAGTGCCACAGAGAATAAGGAGGCATCCATACAACCAGAAGCCACCAAGGTATCCTGTCCTCAACATGTCATCATAGCCCTCATTCTGTCATACCTCTTGCTTCAAGCAATAGTTAATGTTTATTGAGCACTTACCACATGCACCGTGCTTGGAGCTTTCTAGACATATCATCTTACTAAGCCCTCATGGCAACCTTAGGATAAGGAAGCTGATGCAGGCACGGGCTGCAATTGTCCTCAGACCTGAACCTGCCCACCACCACCACCCAGCAATCCCCCCAGGCCCTGGCGCCCCCCGCCTACCTTCAGCCCGATGACGTTCTGCCCATTCACCTCACACAGGCAGTGGTTGGTGAGGAGCCCGTTGCGGGCCGCAGAGCTGCCTTTGACCACAGAGACAACCTTCCCTTTCTTGATGATAAAGCCGACATGGCCCGTGCTGTCCTTGTGCATAGTGACAATCCGCTGGAATGGCCTGGCAGGGAGTGAAAGTGAGCTAGCTTAGGGACATGGCTGGGGTCAGACAGAGGGGCTCCTTGGGCCTGGTACTCACCTGTCCCGAACAATCATGACGATCTTCTCAGGTGACGCCTTCTTCACAGCCCGATGGGCTTTGTCTGTGCTCCATCCGGCACAGTCACGCCCATCAATCTGCAAGATCTGGTCCCCAAAGCGCAGGCCCACGAGGGACGCGGGGGTGTTGGCCTGGACCAACTGCACAAAGAGCCCCTGGGGGGAGACCGATCCCCAGAGTCAGCGTCCTTGCCTACCCTGAGCCCAAATCCCGTCTCCAAGCTGTTGTTTTCCCCTGATACTCTGGGAGCCTACAGCTGTGCACGGCCAGTGCCATGGTTGCCCCATTTTCTAGGCCACACAGCTAGGAAGACGGTGAGTCAAGGTTTCAGCCCAGGCAGAGGCTGCACCCCTCTGCTGTGCTTCCTTTCACAAAGACATGGGGCTTCTGGGCTCTTCCTGGGGTGCCACATCCCAGCCAGGTGAGGAGCAGGTTGGGGGCAGGTGGGGAGAGGCAGCTCTCAGAGACAGGAGCCGGGAGGGGGTGGCAGAGAGTCCCCCTGAAACCCAGCACTAGCCCTTGGGGTTGTGGGGAGAAGAGATTGAGAGGGAAAGCCTGCCTTAGGGGTGCTGATGCCTGCTCTGCACCTTCCTTACTGGGGCTTATAAGGGGTCTGAGTCCGGGGGGGGACAAGCGCCCCCAGTCTGCCTGGCACTACTGTCCCTTCTCGGGCTGGTGGGGGAGTGAGTACAGCTGGGGCTCCTCTTCCCCCACGGCCCCTGCCCACCTGGTCGATGGCCCGCAGCCGCAGTCCAGTCTTGCCGCGCTCATCCTTGCACAGGTGGATCTCGCGCACCCCGGGCTTGATCTCAGCACGCCGCACGCCCAGGTTGTTCCCAGACACTGGTGCCACCACCTGGCCTGGCCAGGGGCCCGAACCCGCGGTCTGCAAACACCAGCGGAGTAGGGAGTCAGCCAGGCTCCTCAGACCCTGTGCCTCAGTGGGGGTGGGGGAAGGGATGGGGAAAGGAGGATGGACTGGTCCCCAGACCCACAGGGTCCCCCTAGACCACACACTTCTACTCACCGACTGAGAGAGGACGTGGCTCCATGAAGCCACTAGGGGGCGTCAAAGTCCGCGCCCCTAAAAGCCAGGGAAATGGGGAGAGGAGGTGGGGGTGCCAAAAGGGGACCCTCATTTTGATATCAGGAAAAGACTCTTTTAAAATCCACGTAAAATAGAAATAAAAATTCACAGCAAATAGAAAGTAATGGGGTACAAAAGGGCTCACTTTGATTTTTGTCTTGAAAAAAAATTAAGCCAAAAGTATAAAAATTAATGAATGCTTCCCCTTCAGATGCAGTAAAAGCTAACGGTGCTCACTCTCACCGCTACTGTTAGCACAGTACTGGAGAATCTAGCCGGCGCAATGAGGCAAGAAAATGGAAAAAAAAAGCATACTGATCAGAAAAGAAAAAATAAAATTGTTCCTATTTATAGATGACAGGATGGTCTCCTAAAAAATCCCAAGAAATCTACAAATAAACTCCTCGACCTAATAAATGAGTTCAGTAAAGTCATAGGAAATAAAACCAACACACAAAAATCAATTGTATCTCTACATACCAACAATGAGCATGTGGAAACTGAAATTAAAAATACCATTTACATCATGGCAGAAGCCCAGGTGTACATCGATCCACGAATGGATCAATAAATTGTGGTATATGTACACCATGGAATACTATGCAGCCTTAAAGAAAGATGGAGACTTTACATTCTTCGTGTTTACATGGATGGAGCTGGAAAATGTTCTTCTTAGCAAAGTATCACAAGAATGGAAGAAAAGGTATCCAATGTACACAGCCCTATTATGAAACTAATTTATAGCTTTCATATGAAAGCTATAACCTAATTATAGCCTAAGAATATGGGGAGGGGAGGAGTGGAGGGAGGGTGATTGGAGGGATCACTTCGATGGTTTATCTTACAAGGGTACAAGTGAATCTTTCTAAGAGTAAAATATAATTGTCTTAACACAATAACTAAGAAAATGACATAAAGGCTATGTTAACCAGTTTGATGAAAATATTTCAAATTGTATGTGAAATCACCACACTGTACCCCATGATTGCATTAATGTACACAGCTATCATTTAATTAAAAAAATATTAAAAATACCATTTACAATCACTCAAAAAAAAAAAAGGAAATACTTAGATGTAAATCTAACAAAACATCTATAAAAACTGTATGCTGGAAATGACAAAATACTAGATGAAAGACATCAAAGAAGAACTAAATAAATGGAAGATCTTCTGTATTCATGGATTGAAAGAACTAGTAATCCTATGAATTGTCCCCAAATTGATATGCAGCTAGAACACAACTTCTATCAAAATCTCTGACAGATATTTTGTAGATGCAGGTAAGGTTGATTATAACTATATATGAAAAGGTGAAGGAATTAAAATAGCTAAAACAATTCTGACAAGAAGAATAAAGTGAGAAGAATCACTCCACCAAATTTCAAGACTTATCCAGCTATACTAATCAGCGTGATACTGGCAAAAGGAGAGAATAAGGATCAATGGAACAAAATTCAGAAATCCAGAAAGAGTAGCAAGCAACTAAGAGGAACTGCTTTTTGACAAGACTGCAAGAGTGTTTTCAACAAATGGGACTGCAGTGATTGAATAATCATGGGCAAAAATATGAACCTTAGGGCCGGGTGCAGTGGCTCACACCTGTAATCCTAGCACTCTGGGAGGCCAAGGCAGGAGGATTGCCTGAGCTCAGGAGTTTAAGACCAGCCTGAGCCAGAGCAAAAACGTGTCTCTAAAAATAGCCAGGTATTGTGGTGCTATAGTCCCAGCTACTTGGGAGGCTAAGGAAAGAGGATCGCTTGAGTCTAAGAGTTTGAGGTTGCTGTGAGGTATGACACCAAGGCACTTTACTGAGGGTGACAAAGTGAGACTCTGTCTTAAAAAAAAAAGTGCACTATACACACACACACACACATACACACACACACACACACACAGCTTGTTTATAATAGCCCCAAACTAGAAACAACTACATGTCCCTCAACAGGTTAAACCCTGGTACATTCACACCATGGAATACTACTCAGCAATGAAATGGAACAAACTTGATACACAGAACAACTTGGATGCATCTTGAAGGCATTATGTGGAACGAGAAAATCCAGCCTGAAAAGGTCACATGCTATCTGATCCTGTTTATATAACATTCTGCAATGACAAAATTAGAGAGATAGAAAAAAAGGAGTGGGGGGGGGAGGGGGGAGGACATGACTACAGAGGGATGGGGAGGAAGATCTTTATGGTGATGGAATAGTTCTGTATCTCAGTTGGGGTGGTTATTACATGAATCTACACACTTCATAAAATGACATGAAACTACAAACACACACTGTACCTCTGTAAAACTCCTGGCTTTGATATCATACTGTAGTTATGCAACATGTAATCACTTAGGAAATTGGGTGAAAGGTACAAGGGACTTCTCTGCACTCTCTTTGCCACTTCCTATGAACCTATTATTATTTAAAAACAAAAAGTTAAGGGGCAGCGCCAGTGGCTCAAAGGAGTAGGATGCCAGCCCCACATATCCGAGGTGGTGGGTTCAAACCCAGCCCTGGCCAAAAACTGCAAAACAACAACAACAACAACAACAAAAGTTAAAAGCCATGAAAAAGTTTTGAAATTACTAAAATGCATTTCCCATTGTGTATTTTTATCCAAGTTTAGGTCAGATGCATGTATGCCTTGTTATTAGAACAAAAAATGATTAAAGAGGAGCTGGCTACTGCGTGAACGTCTTTGCTTCATGTTTGTGTCTCACAGTATGTCCACCAAAGGGGTCACTGTGGAGAAACACCCAGGGTGTCAGCAGTTTGAATTCTCAAGGCCCCACATGGCCTCATCCTTGTCAACTTGGCCCTGTCAGAACCTCATTTGGCAGTGGCTTTGTATGTGGCTGTGGCTATTCTCCATTGTCATTTCTGTCACCTTAATGAAAATCCTGTGGTCATTAAAACTTGCAGTTTCGCTTCCCAGTTTCATTTGCTCAGGAGGAGGCTGGTAGGATAGGTGGACCTCAGGGACACCAGAGGTAATCAGCAGGGGCTATAGTGGGGACTGATTCAATAAGTGGAAACATTTTCAGTAGCAAGCATTTCTGTTATGGTTTATTTTGCTTCCCAAAGCCATGGAAAGTAAAAATCAGTTGGAGGGCCAGAGCTGGGTCACAAGCTCCTGCTCTCTTGGCCTTGCCTGTCCGGAACGCAGCCCTGCACTAAATGCCCCGCCCTGGCTCAGGTTAATGTTAATGTCCTTCCTCCTCCTCCAGCAGGCTCAGGCCAAAGGTGAAAGGGCACACCCTGGTCCTCCAGCCCCATGGCCTGTGGGAAGATGTGAAACCACGAAACCCCACAGTGCTTTCCATGAAGGCTCAAAAAGAAAAGTGCCATCAAGAAACAGAGGCACAGGGTGGCGCCTGTGGCTCAAGGAGTAGGGTGCTGGCCCCATATGCCGGAGGTGGTGGGTTCAAACCCAGCCCTGGCCAAAAACGGCAAAAAAAAAAAAAAAGAAAAGAAACAGAACCACAAGAATGTGCTGGGGAAAGAAGAGATTCAAACACACAGAGAGGAAGTCTATTCAAACAAGAAAACCAAGAAGGAAGGAGGGTTGGGAGATTTTGCAGTTGCAATAGACAGGAGACAAATACCTACACTGTTACCTTCTGAAATCTGAGGCAGGTTCTGCTGGACTTCTTGGCTGGAGAGGGAAAGACCCATATAACTTTCCAATTCTGCCAGATTTGGGTACAAAACTGATGGGAAGGGAGGAAGGAAAAAGAAAGACGTCACTTAAGGGCCTGTGTCTCGCCATCTCTGCCTGGCTTCTGTGGCTGCTCACTTTATGAAGAAAGGGGGCCTGGGCATGCCGCTCCCTTCCAAGAACACAGCATAGCCGCAGAACGCTCCTTGGAAGGTTCCAGGGGCGGGGTCTGCCTTTGTCTGGGGACAGCACGGGACACTTTGGTATTCAACTCCACTGGCCTTATGTGACACCAGCCAGACATGCAACACAAGGTTCAGAGCCCATGCTGGGTCCAGGAGAGGCCCACCAGCACAGTGGGGCAGGCCTCTGCAAAGGGAGGCTTTCACACAGTGATCAGCAAAAGAGATAAGCCAAGTTCAAGTTCAGTACCACAGGTACTCAAGCAACTCCAGGAGTTGCAAACATCCTGGTCCACCTATGCGGCCTTATGTGGCAGCATGACAGACAGGGAGTTGCCGCCCTCACTATGCCAGTGTTCCCAGTGTCCCAGCATGTGTCTCCTTTAAAGGGGCATAGTGAGGGTGAAGTAATGTATAAAGCCCACCCACAGTGGCAGGTGATAGGCAAGTAGTCCGAAAGCTCCATGAAAAGATGAAGCTGTGTCCTCAGGGTCAGCACTGCCAGGCGGGCAGCCTATGCCCCAGCCCTGCACCTGGGAGCATCTTCTTGGAAATTTATGTCCCCTCTGGTGCATGGGACCTGCTAGGACCAGCAACGACATATGGGAGATATTACAGTTTGAATGTTTGTGTCCCCACACAGTTTCTGGGTTGAAGCCCCACTCCCAGTGTTGTTATTTTCGGAGACAGAGCCTCTAAGGAAATAATTAAGGTTAAGTGAAGTCATAGGTGTGGGGCTCTACTCCCACAGGACAAGCATCCTTATGAGAGACAATAGTGAGTTTGTGCATGCTCGCTCTCTCAGTCACAAATGTACCGAGGAAAGGCCACGTGAGGACTCAGCCAGGAGGAAAGTGGCCGTCTGCAAACCAGAAAGAGAGCCCTCACCAGAAGGCAGGATATCCAGAATCTAAATCAGGCGTCCTCAAACTACGGCCCATGGGCCACACGAAGCCCGCCTAAGACATTTATCCAGCCCACTGGGTGTTTTTGCCGCCGCTGCCTGTCCTACTTAGCAGCCAACTCGTCCCGGGGCCTGCAGTCTAGCCCTTCAATGGTCTGAGGGACAGTGAACTGGCCCCCTGTTTAAAAAGTTTGAGGACCCCTGATCTAAATCTTGGACTTTCAGCCCCCATCATGGCTATAATGTAAGCCATGCAGACCATAGTATTTTGTTATGGGGGCCTGAGCAGACTAAGGCAAGTGGATTCTGGCCCCTTCTCTCTTAGATGCTCTGCTGCTGTCCTCTCTTTCCTCCACATCCCCTCACTCTAGGCCAGCCCCAGTTCCAGCCAAGAGGGCCTGGCAGGTGGCTCTCTCCCTCTGCCCTGCCTGGTGTTTCATTCCTGGGATCACAGGAGGATGGGTCACCAGGATGGTATTGACATCCTGATCTGGGGTGACTCAAATTGTTTATATAGAAAAAAGCCCCACAGGCTCAGTGCCTGTAGCTCAGCAGCCAGGGCACCAGCCACATACACCAGAGTTGGCGGGTTAGAATCCATCCCAGGCCTGCCAAATAACAATGACACCTACAACCAAGAAAGAGCCAGGCATTGTGGTGGGCCCCTGTAGTCCCAACTACTTGGGAGGCTGAAGCAAGAAAATAGCTTAAGCCCAAAAGTTTGCTGAGAGCTGTGATGCCACAGCACTCTGCTGCGGGCAACAAAGTGAGACTCTGTCTCACAGGAAAAAGAAAAAAGAAAAAAAAAGAAAAGAAAAAAGCCCCACAACTTGTATGTGTATGACAGGTATCATACACTTGAGGGTCTTGGGCTGAGGGCCTCAGAGAAGCCCTGGCTTCCCCATCTGTCTGTGCTGGGTTTGGAAGGATAAATAGATTATCAGGCAATTATGGAGAGAGGGGAGCAGCACAGGCAAAGGCCCTGAGAGGCAAGGTGACTTGACCAGGGTCACCCAGGTAGTAAGAGGTGGGTGGCAGGTGGAAGCCTGGGTCCTCTCCTCCCACCATGTTGAATCCATGGTCCCAGAGCCTCCCACAGCTTTGATGCCACCACGCTGCCCTGAAGACCTCTGGCCTGAAGGGGCTGGGCATCAGCCATGCTTAGCAAGGGGCACCAGCCCCGCTCACTCACCTGCCTGCGGGGAGACAGCTGCCGTCTGGACTGGCAGGGTGGGCATCCTGGGCGCGGTTCGGGCCTGGGCCTACAGAAGGGCAGGGAGTGCCAGTCAGTTTTGGCCTGGCTGGGGCTCCCTGAAACCTGGGGTATGGGCATTGGGTGTGGGGTGAACCTGGGAGTGTCCATGAACCCTCAAGGCTCAAGGTCCTATGAAAATATGGCTTCTGCAGATGTGCTTCTTTCCAGGATCAGGCTCTCCGCGGCCCATGTTCCACCAAACATCATGACCCATTTACTGCCTGCAGCAGGCAGAACATCAAGGCCCACCTCCCAGTCAAGTTCTCAGTTGAAAAGTCCCAAATGCTCAAAACTCAGTGGGACCACGAGGTGGCAGGATGGAGGAAGGAAGGGGCTCTGGGGACTGAACAGGCGAAATCCCATGCCCACCAGGTTTCTTCTGAAAGCCTGCCCTAGAGCATGGGGCCTACCTGTCCCAGAGGGAGGGAAGCTGGGACAGAGCAGGACAGAGCAGATCTTTTCCATTCCTGCTATAAATCCACTGGCCTTGGCCTCTGGACACCTTCTCTGCCTAGCAGGCCCTGCACTGGGGACCTGCATGCCCTGGGGCCTGCACTTTTCAGAGCAAGCCTTCCTGAGTTACCCTGGGGTAATCCCTAAGTCCCCGATCAGGGAGCCCAGGCTAATGGGGCCTGGCAGCTTACCTGGATGGCTTGGTCCACCTTTAGGTCCTCTAGTGATGGGTATAGGACAGACATGGCTGCTCCTCGGAGCACCCTGCAGAGTATAGAGGGTGAGTGAGGCACTGTCTTGAGAAGAGGCCAGGACATCTGCCTCCTGCCCATGTGTGTAGCACTCTCTGATATGAGATGGGTATCAGCCGCTATTATTGTCCTCATTTTAGATATGGGAGCAATAGAATTGAACCAGTGTGTCAGGTACCTGAACCCTGGTCTCCGTGTTCAAAATGCCATCCCATCATGTTAGGCTGACTCTGGGCTTTAGAACTAGGCCCAGGACATGCTGGCCCAGAAAGGCAGGATCACGGGACACATACTTAGCCACCCAGTTTCAAAAGTTAGCTGGGCTAATGTGGTCTGGTCTCTTAAGACCTAACTTGGCTGGAGGTGTGTATTCAGCACCTGCTGTATACCAGGCCTAAGTGTGGGATTCACACAGCATCATCCCACAGCAGCAAGTGAGCTGGGATTTAATATGAAAACAGAGGGTGGCTCTTGTGGCTCAGTGAGTAGGGTGCTGGCCCATATACCAAGGGTGTGGGGTTTGAACCTCGCCCTGGCCAAACTGCAAGAAAAAGTAGCCGGGCATTGTGGCAGGCTCCTGTAGTTCCAGCTAGTGGGGAGGCTGAGGCAAGAGAATCGCCTGAGGCCAAGAGCTGAAGGTTGCTGTGAGCTGTGATACCACAGCACTCTATCGAGAGTGACAAAGTGAGACTCTGTCTCTAAAAAAAAGAAAGAAAGAAAAGAAAACAGAAAGGCAGCAGGCCCTCCAGAATCCCCCTGCCTACACCTCTGACCCCATTTTAACTTCTGGGCTCTGCTGTCTACCACCCATTGCCAAACTCATTGTTGCTTAGTGATCTTGGCCACAGTGAAGTCAGAGCAAAGGAAATTCATAAAATCACAAACCACAGCAGAATTTAAACACCCAACAGAGCACTTTGCCAGAGGTAGGAGGGTGTCGGGGGAGGGGCACTAAGGACAGTTACCAGCACCTCACTGTCCCAGCAGAGCATCAGCAGGGACTCTGAGCAAGTTGCCCAGGGAAATTCAAAGGAATCGCTGGCTCTGGAGAAATGCTTTATTTCCTTCACTGATGAAACGTGGGGGAGGGGTTGTTTGTCTTTCTGAATTCTTTCCCTTTGCCCACTCACTGCTGGCTCTGTCACACCTCCAGGCCTTCCTTGGAGCAGTCTACTCCATATCGCCTTGTCACCCTCAGTTCCTGCCAGACCTCCCCTGGTTCCCTGGCAGTGAGATCACTGTCCTCCCAACTAGGGCTCTGTCCCCTGGGACAGTCAGAGCTGGGCCGGCCTCTTGCTTCAACTCATCAATGTCCTATCTTCCCAGTGAGATTGCAGTCCTATGGGGTCAGGGCGTGTTCTATTCACACCACTGAGCCCACATGAAGCAGGTGGGGCACATGATGAAGGAGTGCTCCAGGGTGGCACAGGGAACTGTGTGGTCTGTGCCAGGGGTGAGGTGACTTCAGCACCTCCCTGAGTGACCCACAGGCTCCCAGGGACCTCATCCACCCTTGCTCTTTCTCTTTGCTTGGCTCTTGCTGTCTTGCCTCCTGTGTCAGCCTCTGCTCCCACCTTCCTTTCTAATCCGTCATCAAATCTGCCTCTCCCCATATCCCGTGAAGTGCAGACCTCTATCATTAACATGCCCCTCACCAGGCGCCACGACACCCTCCAAACAAGTCTCTGCCTCCCCTCCTGCGGATGGCAATCAGCAGCTCCCCACCACCAGCAGAATTTACATGCCCTAAAGTGTTCTCAGGGCCTTCGTGAGCTTCCAGAGATAGGAAGCAGTGGCCAGTAGGCTAGATGTAAATAGATTTTATTGGACATTGCAGAATATCGTAAACATTTAGATTAGCGGTCTGAAAGAAAAACTTCAGGCTTTGCATTTAATAATCTAAATAATCTAATTTCTTAAATGGGTGTCGTGGCTCATGCCTGTAACCCTAGCACTCTGGGAGGCCAAGGTGGGAGGATCCCTTGAGCTCAGGAGTTCCAGATCAGTCTGAGCAAGAGTGAGATCCCATCTCTACTAAAATAAATGAAAAACTAGGCAGGTGTCCCAGCGGGCACCTATAGTCTTAGCTACTTGGGAGGCTGGGGCAAGAAGATTTCTTAAGCCCAGGAGTTTGAGGTTGCTTTAAGCTATGATGACACCAGGGCACTCTATCCAGGGCAACAGAGTGAGACTCTGTCTCAAAAAAAAAAAAAAAAATCTAATTTCCTGTTGTGCCTTAAAAACAGGAAGGTTTGGCAACCCTGGACTACAGCAGAGGAGATACAGCTTCAGAGCGCCTGACTCAGTGCGCCCCTGTCCCACCGCTCTCTGTTGTCTCTTAACCTAGACCACCGAGTGGAAACATCCATTTCCTAGTTGACCAGCTCCACTTCTTGCCTTACGTTTTATTCCTTATCCCTTTCAGCTCCAGCCACAATGAGCTACTTTTAGATCCTTGAATGGATCTAATTTCCTTGTGTCTCCTTTGTGTGTGTTATTCCCTCTATCTGGATACCTCTCACTCCTTGCCCGGTTAACTCCTAATAATTTTCAAGTCCTGGGCCAGAGCACCCTTCCTGCAGGAAGCCTTCCTTGATCTTTGCTTCACTTAGCTCTGTTCCCTGTCCTCACTCCTGTTGAAAATCCACCACTCCTGTAGTTGTCTTTCTACCTGTCTACTTCATTAGACTGGGAGGTCCAAGAGGGCAGGAACTAGGCCTTTTAATTTGCTGTGAAAACTCTAACCCCTAGCATGGAGGCTAACTCAGTAATATTGCCAGAGGCAATGCATCCTGCTTGGGCTTCCACTTTCCCCTGGTAGTTTTCCTGGGATGGAAACAAAAACCAGAGGTCCCAGATGCGTTTTCTTGCCTCTCAGAGTCTGGTTTTGTTTTTCTAAGTTTGAATTAGTGCCAACATTTAAAAATCTAGAAATGTAAAATTCTTTTCTCTGACTTGTACTGAAAAAAAAATAAAAAAATATTTGGCAAGGCAGGAGCAGGAATCATTCACGGCAACCCCCACCCAGGCTAACTCTCAGCCTACCTCTTAGATGGGGCTACAGGTGACTTCCCGTTTCCCTTCCTATTCCCATCCAGCCCTCTGCTGATTAACGCTGCCTGCGTGGCTCCTGGAAGCAGCCAGTTCCAGACTTTTGCTCCAGCCTGGGCTTTGAGGCAGAAGTGACCATCTCAAGAGGACAGAAATTTTCTAGGAGGAGATGGATTCTGACTCTGACTTCCTTTAGACAACCTGGGGAAAGAGACCCTTTTATCTGGCCTTCTCCTCTGTGTACAACTCTGGAAGATTTTTTATCTTAGGACAGTCCTCAGCAATTACCATCTGCCAAAAGCACACCCTGCCACCAGGACCATGAATGAATGGCAGATGCGAAAATAAGAGGTCATCTCTGCCCTGATTTTTCTAACATTTAAGCAGTATAGCAGGTATATTTTTGGCAGGTATCTCTTCTCTGGGGCAGCGGGGTAGCAGAGATCCATTTCCTGGAAATCATTTCCAGGAACCACACAACTATTTTTCTGAGATCCTTTCTCCACTGCATTCCAACTTAGTGCTGGACTTTGGGGGAGCCAGGAAACAGGTACAGTCATTCCTCAGAATTCGTTCCAGGACACCCTCCCCAGCCCCACGGATAACAACATCCAAGCATGCTCAAGTCCCTTATATAAAATGGCATAGTATTTGTATATAAGTTAAGGACATCCTCCCATATACTTTAAATCTTCTCTAGATTATTTATAATTAGTACAATATAAATGCTAAATAGTCGCTATATTGTATTTTTATTTGAATTGTTTTTTATTGTTGCATTGCTATTCTTTACATTTTTTTTTTTTTTGAGACAGAGCCTCAAGCTATCCCCCTGGGTAGAGTGCCATGGCATCATGCTTACAGCAACCTCCAACTCCTGGGCTCAAGCAAGTCTCCCGCCTCAGCCTCCCAAGTAGCTGGGACCACAGGCGCCCGCCACAACACCTGGCCATTTTTTGGTTGCAGCCATCATTGTTGTTTGGCGGGCCCGGGCTGGGGATTCGAACCCGCCACCTTAGGTGTATGTGGTTGGCGCCTTAGCCGCTTGAGCCACAGGCGCCGAGCCTCTTTACTTTACTTTTTACTTAACTTTTTAATTTGTGCATTCATGGATGTAGAACCCAGCTGTATGGAGGGCCGACTGTGGAAATAGCTCCCCACCAGAAAATATGCTTGGTATCTTATCTAATTGTCCAGCTAGTCATCCAAAACATTTTGAATGTCCACTGTGTGCCAGGCACCCCGGGCCCATTTTATCACCCTCCTTTGTGTAACGCTCCTTCAAGCCTCAGTTCTGATGCTACTTATCTGGTTGGCTTTCCCAGGCCCTGTGACCCCCTGCCAGCAGGCTGGGTCTTCTGGTGTATTCCACCCCTGACCTGTACTGCCCATATTATATGATTAACACTGGGTATTTTCTCACCCTGGACCCAGTCAGAAGGGCAGGGGATCTCGTTCAATGCATGATCCCACCACACCAAGATAGTGCCCGGCACGTGCATACTGGCAAAAATTATTTCACTGAATAAATCGGTGGTATTTCAAAGAACAGATGGAAAATTGTGTGAGCATTTTTGGGTGTCACAAGACTAAGGAGATTCTACTAGCATTTAGGAGATGGAGGGAGCAGGGATATGGACTTCTTGTAACAGACAGAACAATTTACCACAACAAGCAGTTCTGTCCTGTACAACTTTCAAACATCCTGTCCAACTTTTAGGTAGGTTAAAAAGCCAAACAAACAAACAAACCTCTTTAAAGTCTGTTTTATATACAAATACAATAAATTTTGCCCAGTTTTAATATACACTCTATTATCCAGCAATGCATGTATCAGGTTAATGGAGGGAAGTCATACTTTGTTCACCACTGTGGCAAATGACCGTGGACCCTGCTCACCACAGGTGAGTCACCAGCACAGCATGCCCATGTCTGCCTGCAGTTTTGCTGTCACAGTC